CCACATGGACACATGGTTGCGAAGGTCTGACGAAACCACCAGCCTAGCGTATGGCCGCTCTTCCAGAGGCACCATAGGGAAGCGCCGAACATGGTATCCCTGCATATTCTCGTAACATGTGCCAAGAGAACGAGTGGTAGGTACGAATACCCCACTCTGCCCTTGGACGGGGTTCGCGAGCATCCATACAAAGCACCATGGATAGGTGATCCTATCGGAGTAGCTCGAGAAACTAGAATATTCGATTTAGAAGCGAAAACCGTGTGGTCGAGGAGCGCCCGTGAGCTATCATCTACTCCCACAGTCCATATGTCAGTAAGAAGACACAGAACGAGGCTAAAGTTAGGCATACCATCCACACGATGTCCTGATAACCATATCTTTTGCCGACGTACTGGAGAGCGTAGACCAGTCCCAGAGGTGACGCGCCCATATGGTCGACACTACTTCTCGAGCCTCTTCGCATCACTCGCAAGCGCACAAGATATTTCGACATTTGATGGATAAACTACGGTTATAAAACGAATTTCACGCGTTCCAGGAGCTCCTGGACGAACGAGCGTTTGCAGGGATAGCGTGGTGGGCTGACGATCACACTTGTTCTCCTCCACGATAATTCGACCTTATTCCTGGCCTCGTCCTGATTATTCTCGACATTTTTCCTGCCTTTTGCAATGACGCTATTACGATTGGTGGTAGTGTGAAAAGGAGGTCGAAAGGAAAGAGCGTCGGCCGACGGATGAGTCGGTTAAGCAGTCCGGCATCGGGTTATTGTCGAATTTCACTGAGCTCGCTCAGCCACTCTCACTTCTCTTGACTCGACCACATCCATCCCCATAAAAAAACCACTTTTCCTTCACAAAAACATCATCTATAGCAATGTGCCAGACTACTGACAACAACCAGCAATCCCAAAACAAGGCCGACATGGTCCAAGTCGGCGAGACCAAGCACGTCAATGGCGTGAACGGTCACAACCACCAGCTCAACAAGAAGGACCAGCCCAGAAATCCATACGCACCGAGGTATGCCGACTTTTTGAGCAACATTTCCAACTTCAAGATCATCGAGAGCACTCTGCGAGGTCAGTCCCTCTTCCTTTCTCACCCACTCTCCTCTCTTGCTGTGGCTGACCCTATATCAATCCTCCGCTCACTTCCCTTTGACTTGGGTTTTATTCTATAGAGGGAGAACAGTTTGCAAATGCATTCTTTGACACCAAGACGAAGATCGCCATCGCCAAAGCACTCGATGCCTTTGGCGTAGAGTACATCGAACTCACCTCTCCCGCTGCCTCTGAACAGTCTAGATTGGACTGCGAGGCTATTTGCAAGCTCGGTTTGAAGGCCAAGATTCTCACCCACATCCGATGCCATATGGATGATGCCAGGATCGCTGTAGAAACAGGCAAGGATCTACTCTACTGCTTTCTCCCGTTCGCGCGGAGCGCTGGAGGGCGCTTCATGTGTATTGAGTATATCTGACATTGCATACATTGGATAGGTGTGGATGGTGTGGATGTGGTCATTGGCACCTCCTCTTTCCTCCGTGAATTCTCACACGGCAAGGACATGGCCTACATCACCAAGACCGCTATCGAAGTCATCAACTTTGTCAAGTCCAAGGGCATCGAAATTCGCTTCTCGTCTGAGGACTCGTTCCGCTCCGACCTTGTAGACCTCTTGTCCATCTACCAGACTGTTGACAAGATTGGTGTCAACCGCGTTGGTATCGCAGATACCGTTGGATGTGCCAATCCTCGCCAGGTCTATGACCTCGTCAGGACTTTGAGGGGAGTCGTCAGCTGTGATATTGAAGTTCACTTGCACAACGATACTGGAATGGGTAAGTGCTTACGGTTGCATACTCTTGTCTCAACTCACCATCTTTTCTAGCCATTGCAAATGCCTACACCGCTCTCGAGGCGGGAGCAACCCACATTGATACATGTACGTATACTCTGAACATTCAATATTCATATGCTCAAAATGGGACATAGCTGTTCTTGGTATTGGTGAACGTGTCGGTATCACACCATTGGGAGGACTCGTCGCCTGCTTGTATGCCGCCGACCCCGACTATGTCAAGTCCAAGTATAACCTCCCCATGCTCCGAGAAATCGAAAACTTGGTAGCCGAAGCCGTCGAAGTCAGCGTACCCTTCATGAACCCAATCACGTAGGTTCTTCCATTTGATATCAAATACCACATTGTTGACCACTGTGCTTTAGCGGCTACTGCGCCTTCACACACAAGGCCGGTATTCACGCCAAGGCTATCCTCAACAACCCATCAACCTACGAGATCCTCAAGCCTGAAGACTTTGGATTGACACGATATGTTTCTATTGGGCACCGACTCACCGGTTGGAATGCCGTCAAGAGCCGTGTGGAACAGCTCAAGCTGGTGCTTACAGACGACCAGGTAAGTCAACACACCCTAGCAAGCGGGTCCTAAACTCATCATCACTGACAATGTTTATAGATCAAGGACGCTACTGCCAAGATCAAGGAATTGGCCGACGTGAGGACACAGTCAATGGAAGACGTTGATACTGTGTTGCGAGTTTATCACTCGGGTGTGGCCAGCGGGGAACTCGAGATTGGAGATCGACAAATGTTTGACAGGCTCCTCCGGAGACACCGTGACTCGAGCGTGTCACGAGCAGATGTACCTCAGGACGCTATCGAAGGTGCTACTACGCCAAATGCTTCTATTCCCAATGCAGTCACGGCTTAAGCACCTTCGCACCAAAGAAAAACCGGGAATGAAAAACTGTGGGATCACTCAAAGACGCGCGTGTGCGCTCCAAAATCTCCCTGACGACTCGCCCTGACTCCCCCTCCCCTTTTCGCGTCCTAGCTCCCTATTCTACGCACGCCCTAACCCCCCAAAATTAATTGTCGCATTGTTAGTTGCAGTGGACTCTGTTCTTACAAAGAGATGAAGTACAATGAAATCAAAGCAGTTTCAAAAGATGTTCTCGCATTTAGTATAAGATGACGAATGCCCATTATGCGTTTTCGAAGCTGATGGTTGGGCCCGTATACAATCCATGATTGATCCTTTTGTTCTGGTGATTTGTCAATGGGTTTTGATCTCAGCATCACACATCAAAGGGATGGGCAAGAAAGTTTGAATACAAGTAGCAACTATGGAACGAAGAACAGAGAGTAAGGTAGTGACGTGATATCGAGAGTGTTCTAAAGCAATCTAAGTCCATAAATCGGATAACAAAAATTTCCGTTTTTCCTTTTCTATACATACAGCCAGCCGCCTTGTGAATCGGCCCACTTGGCGAGCGACAATACTGGTGTATCAACAAACGACTGATGGAGCTCTTCCTTCTCTTCAGGTGTTGGGTCACCGGTGATGGGCAAGACACCCAATCCACTACCTCCGACTGTGGTAAGGTACGGGTTATAGCCTCCTTCTGCAAGTTTGTCCATGAGGATCTTGAGCGAATCTGCGTAAAAGTCTGTAGAAAAGGCATGTCAGTCGATAATATCAAGGGCAGGGATTCATGTGTTGCATACCATCTGGAATAAGAGTAACGGCACACCCTCCTCCTCCAGCTCCTGTGAGTTTAGTGGATAGACCAAACTCGTCAGTGAGCTCGCAAATTTCTTCGAGAGAGAAGTGGGAGACGCCAATTTCCTTGAGCAAGAGGTGATTTTGCTTGATGAGGTTCTACAAAGTGCATGGTCAGATCAGTGGAATAGCTCAGCTTGAGGGAACTTACGGAAAGTCCAGTGAGGAGTGTTTCACGCGGAATTTCAGGGTCACTAAGAGCACGGAATCCTTCGACGGAAATGGCTTGGATGGCGTCGAGAATATCTGCTCCTCGGCTCGGGTTCTATGTCAA